ATATACTGTGTATTATTTCTCAGTGTCTGTCTAGACTTATGGATGTTTGGAATGTGTAATGTTATTTTTATTCAAGATTTGAAAACACCATTGTAATATTATAATTTATATAACAATAAGAGTTGTAATTATATTCTCCACTTTTTAGTTGTTTCTTTTTTCCAGTAACATCTTGATGCAAAAAGAAACCTTTTTGCCTTGCTTCTAAAGAACGGGTTTCAAAATTTTGTTTTTATCATTAATGACGGTCCACACTTAAAAAATAGTAGGTTATGTTGATTTACACAGTTTGCACACTGTCTTTTATGTATATACCTCCGTGACCACAACAGTAACTGAAGTCAAGTCTGATATATAAGTTAACAATGATAACTTTGCATTTAAATCCATTTAAACATTATGTATTATTAAGCCTCCGTTGAGCGCCATTTAAGTCTAATATATAATTAACAACTATCTTAGCGCTAAGAACCAGTTATATAAATCACTGATATCATGAATAATGCATTACAAGCCCCATCTACTGTTATCAGCCAAACAGGAAGCAGTAGTCCGTTCATCCATTATAGGGGCTAGTGGGAGATGGGTTTGAGAATAGCCAATCATAAAGCAATAAATGAATCATGAAAATCTCCTGTTGAAAAAGACAAGAGGTAAAGTATTTAAAAAGAGCATTGATTACATTTTCAGAACAATTTATTGTGCTGACATGTTGGTACAGACAGAAATTAGATGTTGATGTTTCAACATGTTGGAGAGGTATCTTCTTCAATGGACATTCACAGTGCATTGATAGATTGTTTAATCAATATACATTCAGTCATGGGTTGCGAGTAGTTATGACATTGCCAATCTCAGTTCATTCTTCATTGTTATTTCAATGCAGCATTGATTGTGATGTGCAGCTATTCATGTGTATCTGATGTCTATCTTTATGACAATGAGATACAGATGATATGAAATATGTGTTGAAACTCGTGCACATGCTGTTCCTTTCTATCATTTTTTTGTCGATACATAAATTGTGTGTGTGTTATGATGGTAAATGTCATGTTGTAATATGCAATATGCTGTATTGTATTGATAAACAGTGGTATAGGCAAGTGATGGTATTATTAATAACACTGAGAGTAAATGTCATGTTGTAATATGCAATATGCTGTATTGTATTGATAAACAGTGGTATAGGCAAGTGATGGTATTACACGAACGAAGAGTGAGTGTCTGTTGCTGCGCATTGGGGTGGGTGGGGGTAGAGGCAAGTGATGGTATTACACTGAGAGAGTGAGTGTCTGTTATCGCATTCACATGGGGTAGAAGCAAGTGATGGTATTACACTGAGAGTGAGTGTCTGTTGTCGCACATCGGGTGGGTGGGGACAGGCAAGTGATGGTATTACACCGAGAGAGTAAGTCTGTTGTCGCACATCTGGGTGGGGTAGGGCTAGGGTAAGTGATGGTATTACACTGAGAGTAAGTGTCTGTTGCTGCACATCGGGGTGGGTGGGGGTAGAGGCAAGTGATGGTATTACACTGAGAGTAAGTGTCTGTTGTCGCACATGGGGGTAGAAGCAAGTGATGGTATTACACGAAGAGTGAGTGTCTGTTGTCGCACATCGGGGTGGGTGGGGGGACAGGCAAGTGATGGTATTACACCGAGAGTAAGTGTGTTGTTGCACATCAGGGTGGGTGGGGGTAGAGGCAAGTGATGGTATTACACTGAAGAGTAAGTGTCTGTTGCTGCACATCGGGGTGGGTGGGGGACAGGCAAGTGATGGTATTACACGAAGAGTGAGTGTCTGTTGTCGCACATCAGGGGTGGGTGGGGGAGAGGCAAGTGATGGTATTACAAACCTAAGAGTGAGTGTCTGTTGCTGCACATGGGGGTGGGTGGGGGAGAGGCAAGTGATGGTATTACACGGAAGAGTGAGTGTCTGTTGTCGCACATCGGGTGGGTGGGCGGACAGGCAAGTGATGGTATTACACCTAAGAGTGAGTGTCTGTTGCCGCACATCGCGGGTGGGGGTACAGGCAAGTGATGGTATAACACCTAAGAGTGAATGTCTGTTGCTGCACATCGGGGTGGGTGGGGGACAGGCAAGTGATGGTATTACACGAAGAGTGAGTGTCTGTTGTCGCACATCGGGGTGGGTGGGGGGACAGGCAAGTGATGGTATTACACGAAGAGTGAGTGTCTGTTGTCGCACATCGGGGTGGGTGGGGTAGAGGCAAGTGATGGTATAACACGAAGAGTGAGTGTCTGTTGTCGCACATCGGGGTGGGTGTGGGGACAGGCAAGTGATGGTATTACACGAAGAGTGAGTGTCTGTTGTCGCACATCGGGGTGACTGGGGGACAGGCAAGTGATGGTATTACACGAAGAGTAAGTGTGTGTTGTCGCACATCAGGGTGGGTGGGGGTAGAGGTAAGTGATGGTATTACACTGAGAGTAAGTGTCTGTTGCTGCACATCGGGGTGGGTGGGCGGACAGGCAAGTGATGGTATTACACGTAAGAGTGAGTGTCTGTTGCTGCACATCGGGGTGGGTGGGGGTAGAGGCAAGTGATGGTATTACACTGAGAGTAAGTGTCTGTTGTCGCACATGGGGGTAGAAGCAAGTGATGGTATTACACTGAGTGAGTGTCTGTTGTCGCACATCGGGTGGGTGTGTGGGGACAGGCAAGTGATGGTATTACACCTAAGAGTAAGTGTCTGTTGCTGCACATCGCGGGGTGGGTGGGCGGACAGGCAAGTGATGGTATTACACCTAAGAGTGAGTGTCTGTTGTCGCATTATCAGGGTGGGTCGGGGGGACAGGCAAGTGATGGTATAACACCTGAGAGTAAGTGTCTGTTGCTGCACATGGGGGTGGGTGGGGTAGAGGCAAGTGATAGTAGTACACGAAGAGTGAGTGTCTGTTGTCGCACATCGACAGGCAAGTGATGTATAACACTGTAAGTGTCTGTTGTCGCACATCAGTTGGGGACAGGCAAGTGATGGAATTACACGTTGAGTGTCTGTTGCAGCACATCGCGGGTGGGGTGGGGGTAGAGGCAAGTGATGGTATTACACTAAGAGTGAGTGTCTGTTGCTGCACATCGGGTGGGTGGGGGACAGGCAAGTGATGGTATTACACCTAAGAGTGAGTGTCTGTTATCGCACAGGGTGGGTGGGGACAGGCAGGTGATGGTATTACACAAAGAGTGAGTGTCTGTTGTCGCATTAATCGTGGGGGAGGGTAGAGGCAAGTGATGGTATAACACCTAAGAGTGAGTGTCTGTTGCGCACATCGGGGTGGGTGGGGGACAGGCAAGTGATGGTATTACACGAAGAGTGAGTGTCTGTTGCTCGCACATCGGGTGGGTGGGGGTACAGGCAAGTGATGGTATTACACAGAAGAGTGAGTGTCTGTTGTCGCACATCGGGGTGGGTGGGCGGACAGGCAAGTGATGGTATAACACTGAGAGTGAGTGTCTGTTGTCACACATCGGGTGGGTGGGCGGGGACAGGCAAGTGATGGTATAACACTGAGAGTGAGTGTCTGTTGTCGCACATCTGGGTGGGTGGGCGGACAGGCAAGTGATGGTATAACACTGAGAGTGAGTGTCTGTTGTCGCACATCAGGGTGGGTGGGGGTAGAGGTAAGTGATGGTATTACACTGAGAGTAAGTGTCTGTTGCTGCACATCGGGGTGGGTGGGCGGACAGGCAAGTGATGGTATTACACGAAGAGTGAGTGTCTGTTGCTGCACATCGGGGTGGGTGGGGGTAGAGGCAAGTGATGGTATTACACTGAGAGTAAGTGTCTGTTGCTGCACATGGGGGTAGAAGCAAGTGATGGTATTAGACGAAGAGTGAGTGTCTGTTGTCGCACATCGGGGTGGGTGTGGGGACAGGCAAGTGATGGTATTACACGAAGAGTAAGTGTCTGTTGCTGCACATCGGGGTGGGTGGGGGACAGGCAAGTGATGGTATTACACGAAGAGTGAGTGTCTGTTGTCGCACATCAGGGTGGGTGGGGGGACAGGCAAGTGATGGTATAACCCTGAGAGTAAGTGTCTGTTGCTGCACATGGGGTGGGTGGCAAGAAGGCAAGTGATAGGCTACCACACGAGAAGAGTGAGAGTGTCTGTTGTCGCACATCAGGGGGTGGGTGGGACAGGCAAGTGATGGTATAACACTGAGAGTGAGTGTCTGTTGCCGCACATCGGGGGTGGGTGGGGTAGAGGCAGAGATGGTATTACACCTAAGAGTGAGTGTCTGTTGCTAGCACATCGGGTGGGTGGGGGTAGAGGCAAGTGATGGTATTACACGAAGAGTGAGTGTCTGTTGCTGCACATGGGTGGGTGGGGCACAGTGATGGTATTACACCTAAGAGTGAGTGTCTGTTTTCGCACATCGAGGTGGGTGGGGGGACAGGCAGTGATGGTATTACACAAAGAGTGAGTGTCTGTTGCTCGCATACACCGGGTGGGTGAGGGTAGAGGCAAGTGATGGTATACACGAAGAGTGAGTGTCTATTGTGTACACATCGGGTGGGTGGGGGACAGGCAAGTGATGGTATTACACCTAAGAGTGAGTGTCTGTTGTCGCATTAATCGGGTGGGTGTGGGTGGGGGCAAGTGATGGTATTACACGAAGAGTGAGTGTCTGTTGTCGCACATTAATCGGGTGGGTGGGGCTGTGTACAGGCAAAGTGATGGTATAACACTGAGAGTGTGAGTGTCTGTTGTCACACATCGCACATGGTGGTTAGGACAGGCAAGTGATGGTATTACACTGAGAGTGAGTGTCTGTTGCTCGCATCAGGGTGGATGGGGGGACAGGCAAGTGATGGTATAACACTGAGAGTGAGTGTCTGTTGTCGCACATCGGGGTGGGTGGGGGTAGAGGCAAGTGATGGTATTACACGAAGAGTGAGTGTCTGTTGTCGCACATCGGGGTGGGTGGGCGGACAGGCAAGTGATGGTATAACACTGAGAGTGAGTGTCTGTTGCTGCAGTCGGAGTATGACGACTACATCGCCACCCTGCTGGATGGACAGACTGTCCAGCATCACGTGCTGCAGGAGCAGGTGGAACAGATGGCCGCAAGGGGTACCTCACGACCCCGTGAACTCTTCACTGCCACGGAGAGGCTGACGTCACTGGAGAAACACGCCAAAACACTGCTGCTAAAAAATGAACAGTGAGTAACATTTCACTATTTCATGCATTAGTTTGCGTAATCCCATCACACCTGTCTCACTGATATGTTTTGCTTTTGATTCAAAGCCTCTGCGTGTGAAGATCAACTCTCATGGTAATGAGTCTTGAGCAAATTTCGACTGGCCAATCAAATTGAACGATGGTTTTATGTGCCAGTCGAATGTTATTTTTCTATTTTGTCATCAAATTTGATATTTCAGTCAGCACCAAAACAAACCACACAGAGCAAAAATGGTCCTTTGATAGTTCACCTTTTTGGTTTAGAAGTCAGGCTGTAATATGGTTTCTGTTACCAATACCCTACCCTTGGAACTTATCATTCAGCCATGGCTTTTTTGAGGCACAGATTTATTTATTTACAGATCATTGTCTGTATCAGCCATCATTGACATCTGTATATAGCAGACTGTAGTGTAACATTCAGTCACTTACCACACACAGTTTGTGCTCTTTATTTCCAAGCTGACTTGGAAGTGTTATCTATGTTTAGAATGAGGGAAGAGGTTCGTGAACAGACTGAATGGCTTGCTACAGCTCCAGAGCCAGGTATGTGTGTTGAGGAAATTACATCATCCAGTAAAATTAGAACTGGCTGTGATAATTTTTGCAGATATGGAAGTATGAAAATTAGGATTTGCACAGTGTGTGCACGGTTAATTTACACTGTTTTGTTGTTTTTATACTGTGTATAGCTGAGAATTGATAGCTTTTAGCCATTGGAGTCCTGCTGATGTCCACTTTCAGGGGGTACACAAAGTATGTGATCTTTTGTGGAAGCCTAGGTAGCTGAGTGTATTAGATCACCATGTGTCCTAGCAATTTGAAGCCTCACTTTTAGAGCATGGGGTTGAATCAAAAATGTTACTTGACCACCAAATCTACTAGAATTAGTACTCTCTTGTATAACATTTGTCACTTTTGACCATTATTGGAAGGCATGGCATGTTCAAATCTGTGGCGCTTTTGAAGCAGTGACAAGCATCCTACCTCTGACAAATTCCACTAAAGATTTACAACTTTATTAATTTGAACCATGTGCAGTAGACGTATACCGAGGCACTGACACTTGTATTAAATGAGCATCATGACATGGCCTGATGGAGTGTTGACTGTTCCAGAACCTGCTCCAACCATTGGTTTGGCGCCGGTACACTACAAGGACACCCAGATGGAGCTGGCTGATGAGATCGAGCATGTGAAGGCCCTGATCCTGGAGAAGCTGGATGCCCTGAATGCCCTGAGATGTCACCTGAGAGATGAGTGTGTGCCCCTGACAGTGTGTACCCATCTGGAGCAGTGCATCAAGGAAACAGAGGTCAGTGAAGGCTGGTCAACTTACTGTCAAGTGTGCTCTGATAGAGTAGCATAAAGAGAGAGTAGCATGGCGAGTGTGTAGGGACAGAGTAGCATAGAGAGAGTAGCATGGCGAGTGTGTAGGGACAGAGTAGCATGGTGAGAGAGTAGCATGGCGAGTGTGTAGGGACAGAGTAGCATAGAGAGAGTAGCATGGTGAGTGTGTAGGGACAGAGTAGCATAGAGAGAGAGAGGGAGCATAGCAGTGGAGAGAGAGTAGCATGCAGGAGTGTGTTAGAGAGAGAGTAGCATGGACAGAGTAGCATGGAGAGAGAGAGTAGGGACATGGCACAGGACACACATGGCACTGACTGAAGCCGACCAGAAAGAATGAAGGACAAAGGAGCGCCAGGGTGGGACCAACAGCACGCAGGAATCACAGAAGGACAAATGGGACCCATGGACCAAGGATGACCACACTGAGGTGGAGAGGAATGTGGATCATCACATGGAGGTATGGAGAACACAGAACCAGGAGGACCGAGTCCACGGAGGAACAGTGAGGACCCACGAAGGACCACACAGACACAACTGACCACACAGGAGAGACAGGAACAGACACAACTGTGGAACGGAGACAACACTCCAGGACCAAACAGGCACACACGTGGAACTACAAGGACATGGAACGAAGGACACAGACACCGAAATATGGAGGACACAGGATGGAATCCAGCCCAGGACACACACATGGACACACAGCGAACATGGAGACACACATGGAGAGGAGACAGACCGACCAAAGAAGAGTAATAGAAGGACACGGACCCCAGGACAGTACACACGGACGAAGCATGTCAGGACAATCTCACAGGAAGTTATTTTCAAGTATATATGTCCTGATACCCTACGATTATCCTTCAAGACAGCTTGTGATTCACCACTCACTCAGTCATGTGCAGCTTCAGAAATAAATGGGGGCGGTGGGGTAGCCTAATGGTTAAAGCGTTGGCTCGTCACGCCGAAGACCCAGGATCGATTCCCCACATGGGTACAATGTGTGAGCCCATTTCTGGTGTTCCCCACCGTGATATTGCTGGAATATTGCTAAAAGGGCATAAAACTAAACTCACTCACTCACTCACTCACTCACTCACTCACTCACTCTCACTCACTCACTCACTCACTCACTCACTCACTCATTAAATTAATGCTAGCATACTACACTGATCCTGATTAAGTTTTCAAGGGGCTAGTGGAATGTAGAAGGTCATGACCTGCTGGTTTGTCAGTCTCACGCAGGTATATTTTTGTCTCGTCAGTGACAAGAATGTCTGTGCTGATGTCATGGAGTTTCTTTGTTATTTGTTATTTAGAACACCTGTGAAGAACTGCCCCAAGCAAAATAATCAAACTTACGTCACCACATCTCACTACATATGACGTTCTGCTCACTTTTGATGTACTTGGTGACATAATTCAGTAATGCGGAAGGTGTCGTTGTTGGCACAGGTACTATAGATATCTGTAGTACCCGTGCCAACAATCACCCCTTCAGCTTCGGTAATACCTTGGTGATAGTTTTACTTGATCCCTTACAGATGACCTCGAATCTAAAAATGGAGCTGGCCCAGTTTTAATGATTGTCAGATATGAAAAAATGCCTTCTCGGCTGTGTGACATGATTAATGCAATGTGTGTTGTAGACGAATATGGAGGAAAGTGAACTCAAAGCGGGGTATCCCTGGTGCAAGGCCATCCTCGTCACAGCCGCAGAGTGACAGTGATGATGAGGAGGAGAGCAAGTGGAACTGGTACATTTCGTAACAGACATCATCAATCAAGTAGCAACTTGCCAGGTCTAATCTGAAGGAACAACATGAGAGTGACCTCCCTTTCTGTTGACAACAGACCAGGTTCCACCCTCACTTTGATGCAACATAACTGTGATAAGTCTGAACTTTCAGACAAACCCATTCCTGTATACTGCTTAAAAGTTATCTTTAATGTTCTATAATATTGATGATGATGTAATTTTACACATATGTTGAAAATATTTTGTTCATGAAATCAGGCCTGGTAAACTTTTATGTTAACAGATTGTTAATGATAACGTAATATGTTATACAGAGGTTGGGTCAATTGATTTGTTTTTCTGTGTTTAACAGCAGAGAGCTTTAATTCTCTGCTGCATTGTGGGGCATTTCACAATTGACAGACTTTTAGTATGTCTTGGTGTTACATGAGGTCATGTATCGGTACACAATGATACACATGAGGATGGTATGTTGTATGTTATGTAAACCTGCTGTAGAAGACAATTTCTAACAGACAAATGTTGAAGTCATAGTGTAAAATAAAACATTACCAATTGACTGAAAAGTTTACAGACTCACTAAAACTAAAGAAGTTAATTTCAAAAGGGCTATTGAACATCACAGTTGACTAATTCTGCTATTATCATAATAGCACAAGTGGACAGACTTTTCAATCAATTGGTAAAATGAGTGAAATATTTAGGATTTAGTAAATTGCCATATACAGACATGTTACACAGTTTTTGTAAGATGTACAGGCGTGATCTAACCATTGTTTAATTTCCTTAAATGTACTATTTATAACTTCTTTGAGTGGCATTTTAGAAGTTGGGAAGTACAATATAGAACAAACTTTATGGATAACAACTTCTTTTTATTCGTGAGTCTTTTCGATACAGATTCTTGTTCCAAAGCATAATTATGCTTGTACTTCTTGTATTTCAATAATTATGTCTACAAGAATCTGTATCAAACGTATCTGATAAAGAAGTTGTTATCCATAAAGTTTCTTCTATATTGTACTATTTATAGTCTGGTTTCATCTGAACCGTTCCCTTTGATGAATTTGATAACGTTGTCATAATTACCATTCCACAACTATCAAATTACCATTCCACTACGATCACAAGGTCATGCCTATTCAGGTATTAAACTGTTCAGCATTACTTCAGAATCTTCCCTGATTGCTGGTATATGTGTATAACCTCGGCAAGCTATGCTGGTTGTAAGAAGTGACTCAGGGGAAAGAGTGGTGAGATTCAGTGCCTCGGCTGATGTTTGATGGCTAGGATAATGGTGTATTTGTTGTGAGACAACACACACACAGACTTTATAATATATATTAATGAATTCTGAAAGATTCTTGACAAGTTGACAGACTAATGGAGACACTGTATAAAAGCATGGAGATTTATTACAGTGTAAGCTTTGTTACCTCAATGTTTGCAGTCATACGGACTGTCATGTTTGCACTAGCTGAAGAAAGTTTGGACATACTTAGGTGTTTTGTTTAGCATATTTCAGAATGTTTTTATTGTTTTAATTGAGATTGTGAAAGGGGAGTGTGTGAATAATATACTACAAAGAATTACAGACTGTGTCCTAAACCATATGCATTGTTGTTTTTATTGAGGTGGGGGTGAGTTGGGGTGGGAAAATTAAGCCAGGAGGATAATGGAACACGTATCCTACATGAATTCATCTTGTCCAGAGCCATGAGCCATGAGGGGAGCCTTTTACTTTAAACTGAGTGAGGTGAGGTGAAATCAGGGGCTGTTGAGTATTATTTCCTCAAAACCACTTCCATAGCGACTTACAAAACATGTGTTTGTTGACCACAGCTTGTATTATCCACAAAACCACAGAGACAATCAGAGGCGATACTCTTTCCACAAGACCACAAATCAGGACATCTCTTTCCTCAATGAGAGAGATCAATCAGGGGCGATACTCTTTCCACAAAACCATGAGAGGTCATTTCTTGATGAGAGGTCCATGTCCGTCGTAGTTGATGGTGTCACATCAGACAGCAGGGAGTTGGGGTTCCACAGGGGTCAGTCCTTGGACCTGTCCTCTACTCAATCTACACTAAACCTCTAGGTGGAATTATACACCAGGATTCCCCCAGTTCCATAGCAGTGCCAATGACCAACAACTGTACATTGGCCTTAAACCCTGTAATATCAGGAAAGGAATTTCACAGCTAGAAGAATATGTTTGCAAAATTCAGAATTGGAATTAAACTCAATAGTGTCAACAGTGACAAAATTGAACTCAAGATGATAGGGACCTCCCACCAACTTAACGAAATTGGAAGCCACACTCTCTCAGTTGGATCATCTTCCGTAGCACCTTCCACATCTGTCAGGAACCTGGGTGTTCAAATGGACAATTATATGTCCAGCAAGATTCAAGCCCTAAAGACAGCCAGAACAGCAAACTAAACTGTCGGAAAAATCCGACAATACTTGGATGTTGATACCACCAAAACTTTTGTGCATGCATATGTCACTTCCCATCTGGATTATTGCAACTCACATCTACAAAGGAGTCCAGAATAAAGCAGCCAGAGTCATTACCCGTACCAGACAGCATGAGCATATCACACCAACCCTGAAACAGCTTCACTGGCTCCAATCCAGAAACGTGTATCCTTCAAAATTCTTACCCTCACCTACTCTGTTCCTCACTGTGAGACAGACCCGATCTACTTGAAGGGAATCCTCACTCCATATATTCTGTCACGAAACCTCCGGTCCTAGGAACAGTCACAGCTCACTGTCACATTCACAAGAACTCAGCTTGCTGGTCATGCCTTCTCTGTGGCAGCCCCTTGTATTCATCTTGAAGTCAGATCTGCAAACTCAGTTGACTCTTTCCGCCAATTCTTGAAAACATTTTTATTTTCTCAGAACCTTCTGTGTTGTTTCACGTTGGTAACATGAAAAGCTTTAAGTTGGATATCAGGTCCAATATAAATGCATTATTATTATTATTACTTATCTGGGGCCCGTTCATAATTTATGGCTAGGGGTGTGTGTGTGTGATGATTTTAAGGGGGTCACCCATTTTGTTCTGGGCAGGTGGGGGGGGGGGGGTCATCAAATTTGTACACATGTTGCTTGGGGGATCAGCAATTTTGTACATAAAAATATTATAAAATTATGCTTTAAAAATATGGAAAGGTGGGACACTGACTTTGTACATGACATGCAGGGGATATCACTTACTTTGTACATACATTTTAGGGGGGGTAATTCACATTGTACGTGCTTCTCCATAAAAATCATCATCACACACACACACACACCTAGCCATAAATTATGAACGGTCCCCTGGGGAGATACGCTATCCGTTACACCACAGAGGTAGTCCCCACAGAGACGCTCTGGGAAGACACACTATCCACAAGACCACAGAGACAATCTGGGGAGACACTCTATCCACAAAACCACAGATACAATCTGGGGAGACGCTCTACCCACAAAACCACAGATACAATCTGGGGAGACGCTCTACCCACAAAACCACAGATACAATCTGGGGAGACGCTCTACCCACAAAACCTCAGAGACAATCTGGGGAGATACTTTATCCACAAGACCACAGAGACAATCTGGGGAGATGCTTTATCCGTTAGACCGCAGAGGTGGTCCCAATGAGGGCTAGATATTTCTATGTATTGTTTTGAAAATTAGTGTTACCAGAGACCATATTATATGGTCTCTGGTGTTACCTATCACAAGAGAAGACATCAACCAAATTAAATTGTGTTTGGATCAATTTTAGCACAAAATAGTCTCTGATGCCCTACACAATGGACAATGCTATTGTCAATAATGTTCAACAATGCGATTCTTTTCAACAAGCCAGTGAACACAAAACAAAAATTACAGTGTTCAGTGAGTAAGGCTGAAAATAACCTAATCAATATTCCAATGACTTGTAGTTAATACAGTGTGTTGGAACAGCACAGTGGATCAGCCATCACTTGTATGTTGGGTATTGATAGTACTTGCATGCATGAGCTGTTTCTAATGACAATTACCTGAATGGGTATCAAAGTAACTGAAGCTTGCGAAAGTTCATCAGGTGTGACTGTTATATAACTCATACCATTTCAACACTTCTAATGACATTTATTTCAGTTGTTCAGTTAATTAATTTATTATTAATCGTGATGATGATGCATAAACTCTTAATTGATTTCCATCATCAGATCAAAAACAACTCCCATTTTCTCTTCTTGTTGGAACATGTAAACTAAATTTCATTATTCAGTAGGAATGGCCTCCTGACCTATATATAACGTTGTAAATGTCACGCACACGTGTGTGTTTGAATACATAAAGCATAAACTACAGTTTATCTGGAGAGAAGAATTGTATTGCGCCTGAACATTTCATCTGTATGAGTTAAGATAAGGCTCCCCGGGAATATTAGAATTTCAACTTACAGATACATTTGCATATCAACAACAGCTATTTATGCAAAATACTTCTCCCAAACATCCACACTCTGCCTTTTTAACACAGTTTAGCTTTCCCAATATATTCAGTGTTTTGAGTAAAACCTGTTCAAGAGTCGAAATATATCTAAAACATTGCTACACACAACAAAAAATGCGGCGGTTTGTAAATAATTGAGTCTGGACCAGACAATCCAGTGATCAACAGCATGAGCATCGATCTGCGCAATTGGGAACCGATGACATGTGTCAACCAAGTCAGCGAGCCTGACCCCCGATCCCGTTAGTCGCCTCTTACGACAACCATGGGTTACTGAAGGCCAATATTCTAACCCGGACCTTCACGGGTCTATAGGGGGACTGAAAAATGTTGCATAAAAATGTCGGTCGTTAAATATAATCGTTATGAAACCAGTCTCAGTGTCCCTTCTATTATAAATGGCTAGTCCTATAGCGGAGTAGTCTTATAAATTCCATGCTAAATATCTTTTTGAAAGAGTATTGCATGATTAAGCCAGATGCTTTGAGTTTTGTTCACTTATTTGATAGTCTATGGTCATATATATGTTTGCATCTAACTACCACATACACATTCCTTACGTCCACCAGAACTCATTTGACATATGTTATGACGATGTGTAGTTCAAGGTCGCATGATAACGCCTCTAAATCTGTTTCTTCCCCTTTAGGATACCTAAACGGTGTTAGGCCTGTGAAGAGTTAACTAAGAGTATACTCATCATTATATGATATTACAAGTGAAAGGTCCAATTGCATGTACTATACAGGTTGTGGAATAGAAACCACATTCAACACAGAGCTGTCAGAGTGATAGAAACACTGACCTCATCTATTTTATGACACCAGTACTGACAACAGATGGCCCTCTGCAGCATCATTTGCTACATCGAAAGGTATTGATAATGATGGACCTATTGATGAGTCTTTACTATCATGCGTGTAAATCTTTGAAGGGCATTTAGAAGTGGAATACATAGGAAAAGCAAGCTTTTATGGATGTCAACTTCTTTATTGTGAATAGCACGACGTTTCGGAGTGTATGCTTGCTCCTTCATCAGGTGCTTGCTCCTTCATCAGGTGCTTGCTCCTTCATCAGGTGCTTGCTCCTTCATCAGGTGCTTGCGCCTTCATCATCAGTAGCTGCCAATAGCCCTGGTAGTCCAACATGCTTCTTGTCAGTTATCACCATTCACCTGATGAAGGAGCAAGCATACATTCCAAAACGTCGTTATTCACAATAAAGAAGTTGACATCCATAAAATCTTGCTTTTTCACCATCATGCGTGTCATTATATTGTCATTATTCACAGTGTCAAGCACTGCGTCGTGGAGGAGACAATATTGCCAATGCGGGTTAGACTTGTTCACAGCCAACTATGCTGGTCGTACGA